GCAAAATATCTCAATTGCCCTGAATGGATGTTTCAATGAAACTTTTAGAAAACAGCCTTTGGGAAAACATCTCCAGCTGATTCAAGATGGACGCCATGGTTAAGCAACCTTAGCAAGCACAAAAATGACTATAACACAGTCAATTTAGCAGATGTGTTTTCGTTGCTGAGAGGAATCACCAACATTGAGTCAGGATGCTGAGATTGAGCAACATAAGGCAATAATGTTTGCAACTGCATATTTTAAAGATTTGACCAAAAAAAGCTAAAACTTCCCCATCATTTATATCTAAAACTGTGGTATGAAAAGCGACAGGCCGCGTGCGTTCCTTCAATAAATGTCAGACTTTTTTTTCTCTCTTCAACTCAAAGTTTTAATTCAAAGGCATTTTAAATGATTCATCAGCATCCTTTCAGTGTGTTTCAAAACCTCCCCAACTCTCGGCGTCTGTCAGCACATTTTAAAAATGTTTTTCCACTACAGAAGTACTTTCCTCCATCCGTCAGTCATAACTGCTGCTTCTTGCTGTCGTCGTGGAATATTTCATCCTCTGAGGCAAAGGGCTCCTGGGTGTTGTGTTTCAGGTCATCCATTACAATAATTGCTTTTACTCACCAAGTAGGCTTTCCTCATGCAGGCCGCCTTAAATGTTTAATTACACTGTTTTAAGGTAACAAACTTTGTAATTGCCTTTTGACAGGACCGGTTTGTTGTGTAAAATGTAAAATAAAACGCGACATGTGCTTCGGAGCAGACAATAGTTGCCTTAAGAGCCTTAATTCTTTGAGTAAGAAACTGTAGTCGGGCTGAGTTGCAGCTTGTGTTTCCGTGTCTACATTACACGAACTTGGAAAGCCCAACGGGACACGCCACGGTTAGAGTTACGCACTTCTGTGACAGATGTCAGTTTGGGACAGAAGCTCAGTGTCACTCATCTGAAATGAACAGCTCCCACTGAAAGTTTAATCTGAAAGTTTCTCTGTGCTTGGAAGGGAAACTCTGATTCTGCAGAGTCTTTGTGGTGCACTTGTGTGGTGTCTGTTCCAGGACACGTGTTTGTAGTTGTGTGCTTTGACAGGTTTTTTTGTTGTGTAATTGGTGCTGTGTTCGGTGAAGTCTGCGTGTTGAAATGAAGCGGTGGGAAAGCTGCAGTTTCTGTGTATTTGCAGCTGTCAGGCTGAGGGACGCGGTGCGTTCATGTATGTCGGAGAGAGAGGTGGCGGCGCGCAGGGTTATTGATTTTCCGTACGCTTTTCTTCGTCCTTGAACTGAGCGCGTTTAAACAGGAGCTTTTGTTCCTGTTTTAATGTGAGATTTAAGACTATTTCTGTAATTCCTTTTTATAACCGAGCTAAATTTACAATCTAGGTCACTGATCCCATTTAGACATTGAGGAGTGGGACACTTTGTTGCTTCTATAATAAGAAATCTCAAACTTTACTGAGTGGGGATTGTCAGCAAAATGCCAAATCGTGAGGTGAATTAACTCTGTGCTGGATACAATTATTACATCCGCCAAGGAGGGTTGTGGTGGGGTTCTCGCAAAGAATAACTGATTAAAAGTTGGTGGGGATCTGCCAACATCAGCCAGTGTTGTAGTACTCGAGGCCAATTTTGGTCTCAAAACCCCTTTTTGATGGTCTCGGTCTCCAATAAATTTGTACTTGGTCTTGTCTTGAACATTGAGGACTCTGGATTTTATTTCAAGGCAAGTCAAACACCAAATGTGGAAATATCACCAAATTGCCAGAACATTGTCGAATTTATTTGTGATTTGTTCCGGTCTTGGTCTCGTCTATAGCCTTCCTTTGGTCTTGGTCCGGACTTGGTTAGGTGGTCTTGACTACAATGTGATCTGGCAGAAACAAAAACTGAAACTCAAAACAGAGAACAGAGCCACAAGCAGTTGTTTGGTGATGATGTCATACATTGACAGCCAATCAGCATCCAGCAGAACTTTGTTCCACCAATCACAGCTCAGCAGCTGTCACTGAGGTGTGCCTTCTCCAGTTGCTTTTATTTTTTTGAACTGCTTTGGGGAAAAAATGGCAAATGATGATAACTACAAAACATGCTTCAAAATTATAGAATTGAAAAAAGATCTGAAAAAATATTTACTGTTTAAATATTTCTGAGCTATATTAAAAAATTTCTCATGTAACATCCATGCTCTCCCACTAAAAATGCATTTACCTTTGCTCAATAAGCTCCTATAGTCATGTTAAGCTGTAAAAGAGACTGTGTGTGCATATTTTTATTTTAAAGCTTGAGCAGCCACTTGACATCCCATAATTCATTACCAAGCACATTAAGGAGGTTTCCGATAAAATGTAATGGTGCAGTTTTTTCTTTTTTCCCCTCCTTTAGAAAGCCTCCTGCTTTTATTGAAAAAAAATAAATAAATAACTGCCACCAGGAATATTCGTTTGTATTTGCTGACAGCAACATGTTGTGAAATATCTACAGCCGCTTGTGACGGGACTCGTGCAGGCAGAGGACCTTGACGTGATTAAATGGATGGAGCCGGAGCATCTGTGGAGGAATATCAGCGTGGCGTGTCAGAGCGAGGGGGAAGTTAATATGGCTCGATAGTGTTGTAGTCTGCAACCCAAACCTGCAAATATAAACCTCTGTAAGATGAGGACGATAGAGACAGTCTGTCCTCATCCATAAGCATGACTGGGGATCATGTGGAAGAGGAGGTGATGGCAGTGATGGGCTCAGGGTGAAGGCAGTGCAGCTTCGGCTTGAAGGTAACAGATTGGGAGCGATGAAGAACGGGAGGAGGGAGGAGCAGCAGGAGAGGCGACCAAGTGAGGGAGCTGCTGGATGTGACAGAGGACTGGGAGGAGAAGACTGATGAGAGCTGCTGAAATCCACTCATATTCAGTCCCCCTGATAAACAGTCCTGATCAGAGCAGCCAGCCGATCACAACCTGTATGCTAATGTGGAGGTGGCAGATGTTCTCATCAGAGAGGCGCTTTTAAATTAGAAATAGTCACCGCATGCTGCTAATGTGGCGCTTGATAAAACACGTTTTGTTTAGACCTAATGGAAAGAAACAGAATTTAGTCCTGAAAAGTTTTTTTTTCTTTGTAAATGCCACAGTTTGTTTCTTACTATCTGCAAGTAGTATTTTTGTAAGTATATGGGGCGGCTGTGGCAGAGTGGCTAGGGGAGTCATCCTGGAACCGGAAGGTCACCGATTGTCTCAGTTGTTTGTGTCCTTGGGCAAGATGCTTCACCCCTAATGCCTCTGATGTGTGTCCCATCAGTGAATGAATGTGATTGTCACTGATTAGTCTCTATAGATGGTTGTATGTTAGCTTTGTAGGAGATCTGGTAGAGTGCTGTGTGAATGGGTAAATGAGGACAGATTGTAGTGTGAAGCGCTTTGAGTGTCCTGGTTGGGTAGAAAGGCGCTATACAAGTACAGTTCATTTACCATATGTGTAATTAAACAAATGCTTTCAGATTGTTTGATATCTTGACTGTGTTGTGAAGCAGCTGGAACAAGATAAATTGCATTTTTCTGAAAATGCAGTGAATTTGGCTTAAGAAACTGTAACTGACTTGTTAAAGCTAAAAGAAGCAGAGCACTAGCTAAAAGCTAAAAGAAGCTAACTGCTAGCTGTGAGAGAAAATAAAATTGCTGCCCACGTATTTATATTTAGATGGAGTTTCAGCTACGTTTTACTTATAAAATATACTGCATATGCATTGTCACATTATTCTGAATTGTTTTAACTCATGTTGTAAGTTTCCAGCAGGGCACCTTTAATGTGTCTTTTCTTGTTCTTCAAGCCTTAACTTCACACACGACTGTGGTTTCTGCACAACTGGATTGCAGAACTACTTCTTTTGTTACTAATGGAACATGAACATGTAGTGACGATGAAATATGAAGTATAACCACATTTTAAGGTGTTCTTCTTTGTTGAATAATCACAGAACAGGATTTTAACTGAACTGCTGCTCAGATAAAAAAAAAACATTCCTTGCATGTCAAATAGGAACTGGTTTTGGACTGGTTTCTACTGGAAGAGTATAAAAGATGCTTCACTGGGGCTGTGGCCTCAGACTCAGCTTGTATTGCTGCATGCATGTTGACTCTCATTTTTATTGCAATAAAATTACTCAGAGACCATTGTTGTGAAGAATGTTTTTGATCATGTATTTCTACACTTTGTTTAACAGACGTATATTTTTTCCACCACACCAGCTAAAATCCAAAACCAGCCAATAATGTACCAAAAGACTGGCTTAAAGCTAAAAGAAGCTAAATGCTAGCTAAATGCCAAATAACAAATGACTTGCTTAATATGCCAGAAGACTAGTTCTGAAAGCCAAAGAAACAAAAGATGCATAATACTAGCTAAAAGCAAATAAAAGCTAACTGATAGCTAAAATCTAAAACAAGCAAATGACTTTCTTAATATGCCAGAAGACTAGCTAAAAGATGAAGAGATGATGCAGAACACTAGCTAAAAGCTAAATGAAGTGCATGCTGTGAAACTGATGAAACTGTAGCAAAAGACTAGCTAAAATTTTCATAGTTTAGCTACAAGCCAAAAGTATCTCAAATATGACTAAAAGTTAAAAACAGTAGACCATTGACAAAAGTGGCTAAACGGTTGCTTAAAACAAAAATTAGGAAAAGGCTAGTTAAAAGTTGTGAAATGATAGATAAAAAAGTAAAAAACAAAACAGAGCAAGTATGCTGAAGCAGGTTCAAATTAGAATATTTGTTTATAGAATATTTCTAAATAAATATTTAGAAGATTTTAAAGGGTTTAAAAACCAGAAGTGTTTCCATTCATCTCCTGAACAAGCTGAGTATTATAGGTAAAAATGGCAAATGCAGATTGCAAAAACAGGAAAAAAATATAAATAAACAAAATTGTGTGAATGTAAAATGATCAATTGTTTATATTTTTTAAGATGTAAACCTTTCCTGTTTTTAACCCTTCCCTTCCCTCACTGTGCCCTTGTCTTGCAGCTTTTCATGGTGGACAACGCAGCCGACGACTGGAGGATAGCCATGACGTACGAACGCATCTTCTTCATCTGTCTGGAGATCTTGGTGTGCGCCATCCACCCCATCCCAGGAAACTACACCTTCACCTGGACGGCACGCCTGGCGTACACCTACGTCCCGTCCAAGACGGACGCAGACGTGGACATCATCCTGTCCATCCCCATGTTCCTGCGGCTGTACCTCATCGCTCGGGTCATGCTGCTGCACAGCAAGCTCTTCACCGACGCCTCGTCCCGCAGCATCGGCGCACTCAACAAGATAAACTTTAACACACGCTTTGTGATGAAAACCCTCATGACTATCTGTCCCGGCACTGTGCTGCTGGTCTTCACCATCTCACTGTGGATCATCGCTGCATGGACAGTCAGAGCTTGCGAGAGGTGCCTGGATCAGTATGTAGTGTTCTCAGCATGAAACGTGGATAAAGCAAAAAAAAAGAAAAGAGCATGCATGCATGCTTTATCTGAGCGACAAGACAAACTGATTTAATCACAAGGCTGATTAGGGCGGCTGTGACAGAGTGGTTAAGGGAGTCATCCTGTAACAGTGGGTTGCCGGTTTGATCCCTCGCTCCAGCTGTCTCAGTCATGTCCTTGGGCACGACGCTTCACCCACCTCGCAAACTGATGGTGGTCAGAGGGTCCGGTGGTGCAGTAAGGCAGCCCCGCCTCTGTCAGTCTGCCCCAGGACAACTGTGGCTTCAATGCTTACTATCATCAGTGTGTGAATGTGTGTATGAATGAATGATGCAGGAAATTGTAAAGCGTCTTTGAGGGTCTTGAAAAGCGCTATATAAGACTACTGCATTATTATTATTATTATTATTATTATTATTATTATTATTATTATTATTAAAACATTTCATTTTAAATACACTGGATTAATTTCAATTAATTTAAGATTAAATAATCTAACTGTATCAAAAAGAAAAAATAAGTAGGTCCTCTGGATGGGTCCTTCTTTAGTGAAACATTTCGTCTCTCCTCCAAGAGACTTCTTCAGTCTGATGAGTTTCAGGTGAACTCAACCTTATAAGCACTGCCTCCACATGGACAAACAGGTGTGAGCAAAAAGTGAGAATCAGGGCCCCAACGATACCCAACACAAATAGGGAAAGAGAGACAAAAAACAAGGGGACGTTGAACCCCGCTTGCTCTCACTACACACACATAACGAACACCAAATAATCACAACCAAAGCATCCAAACCAATAAGTCAGGTGATGGGGCACATGACCCTCTATGAACAATAGAGCTAATCAAGCTTATTGTTAGGCGATGGCCCTCTTTTGCATGTGACTAAATAGAGCTAATCAAGACTATTGTTAGGTGATGGCCCTCTATTGCATGTGACTAAATAGAGCTAATCAAGCCTATTGTTAGGTGATGGCCCTCTTTTGCATGTGACTAACCTGTTTGTCCAGGTGGAGGCAGTGCTTATAAGGCTGAGTTCACCTGAAACTCATCAGACTGAAGAAGTCTCTTGGAGGAGAGACGAAACGTTTCACTAAAGAAGAAACAATCCAGAGGACCTACTTATTTTTTCTTTTTAATTTTTTCTACCTGGATTACTGAGATGCATCAGGACAATCTAACTGTATGACTATCATTGTCCTCAAGGTCAGCCTTTTATATTTACTGTTTATTACAGGTACCATGACAACCAGGATATAACCAGCAACTTTCTTGGAGCCATGTGGTTGATCTCAATCACATTTCTTACTATTGGTTATGGGGATATGGTCCCACACACATACTGTGGAAAAGGAGTCTGCCTCCTTACTGGCATTATGGTGAGTACAACTGTCTGAATGTTTTTTTTCTCTCTTTCTCTCTTTAGAAGAAATTTTGAGAATGTTTTTAAAACTGTGTGAGTAAAGTTTACCAAATGAGAACAAATTTAGTCCAAATTTGTATCCTCTCAGGGTGCCGGCTGCACTGCTTTGGTGGTGGCTGTAGTGGCAAAGAAACTGGAACTAACCAAAGCTGAAAAACATGTCCACAATTTTATGATGGATACACAGCTGACAAAAAGGGTAAGTAAGTGCTCCACACCCAACAGTCCTTTTATATCACTTAGCGTTGACTTAAAACAGAGGTGTCAAACTCATTTTCACCGAGGGCCACATGAGAGTTATGGTGGCCCTCAGAGGGCCAGCTGTAATTAACTTGATGCTTCATGTTTAACTTTGACTAAACAAGAAAGGTCGCGTTCCTCGTCTCATTGTCACGGCTGATCGACACTAATGAACAATAACTGAACTCTACGTGGTATTCCCTGCATGGAAACAGTGTTTTAACACATCTTCTTATAAACACTGAAAAGTACTATGTAAATGATTGACTAAATGTGAAATAAATAATACAGAAATACTAATAAAAGTAAAAGAGTTTTACTCACTGTTGAGTTGTGGCGAGCAGCTGCCATCTTGAATTCTGAACAGTCACACTTCCCAACTGGAAATTCCCATTTCCAGTTTAAACATATGACTTGTAAGTGGGTAATTCCCACTTCCCAGTTCAACTGGGCCACAGCAAAAGCAGCCGGCAAAAATGGCCCGCAGGCCTTAAGTTTGACACAAGTGATTTAAAGGAATATTTTGTATTCATACTCCATGTCAGAGCTTTGTAGGCACACTGCTCGCCGGTCATCGTAAACACCCAGAATTAACTGAGACTTCACAGAAAATTTGCATATTTTCAAGCCTTTTTTAGATTTTTCTTCACTCTGCACACTTTTTATTCATGGCATGATTTTTTTTTTCACTGTAAATAGATTTTCTTTTTATGAATGAATAAATTAAATTGAATGAACAATAAACAATTTTAAGTCACCAACTAGTGTCTAACAAGCCAGAACCCAGTGACATGCTTCCTATACTGGTAACAGCAGCATAGAACATCATTATAGTTCTGAACTGTCTCTTTATTATGTTTTTCCTATTCTAAATATAATCGTTTGTAATGTTTTTGTGCGTGTGTGTGTGTGTGTGTGTGTGTTGTTGTAGGTGAAAAACACAGCTGCGAATGTTCTCAGGGAGACGTGGCTCATCTACAAGAACACCAAACTGGTGAGAAAGATGGACCACGCCAGAGTCAGGAAGCACCAGAGAAAGTTTCTCCAAGCCATTCACCAGTAGGTGGCACCCTCCTTCTGCTCTGCTCGTTTTTAACCAGCAGGACGTGCGTTTGGTTCGCAAACAAAACAAAACAAAAAACAAACCTGAAATCTGAATTGTTTGACACCTGTAGCAAATAAATGTGCTCCGATTGAGGCAGGATGTTTTGTGTTTTCTCTTTGTTGATTCTGTGTATAAAGTATCCACAGGAGCCTAATTAATGCAGCTGTTTCTTAAAAGGGACTTGTTGCTCTAAAAACAGGATATGAACTGCTCAGTTTGCCTTCAAACGTGGATTTTTTTAAAGTCGTGTGGTATTGATTTGTGTCCTGCTGGCCTTGTGCTGCCAGATGAACTCTTGTTTGTCTGAGAGTCAGATGTCAGGCTGACCTCAGGAGCTGACGCGTCTGGGTTTCTGTTTCTCCCGCGGCCGCTCAGAGACTCACCTGTCAGCTAGTCCTTTAGTAGGTCCCCAAAGGCTTCCAACTTACTCCAAAAACAGTATTGATTTTAGCCTCCCTCGCTGTTGTTTTTCCTCACGCTACAGTGCTCAGCAACACTTCCACTCTGTGGCTTCCTGTCTGCAGCTGCTGGAAAGAAGCGGCGCTTTATCAAGATAAATAACTACAGTGATTTTGTTAGTATGTAGCTTAACACTTTCAGAAAGAAAGAAAAGAATTCTCAGTGTGCGCGTCTGTGGTTTCATGAATATCTGTGCTGTCTTTGATTTGGTTATAAAAAAATTTGATGCACGCTTTTGTGTTTTAAATAGCTTTATCACAAGACGAGGCAGGCGAGTCGTGTTTGCTCCTCTGCAGCCTCTGCTTTCAGAAGGCTGCAGTTGAGTTGTGTTTTCTTGCCCTTGATGTTGGATTTAGGCAATTTGCAGCAGTGATAAGAAAGTCTTGCCTTCCTGTTCTTTTCACTTAGGGTTAGACAATCTCATAATGCAGATTGCTCCGAGCTACAGATTGATCTATAACCCACAGAATACAGAAAAAGTCATGGGCCAGCTCTGCTCTGTGTGCAAAAACAGCTTCTCAGCATGGTGTCTGTGTTCCTCCCCATCGCACCTTTGTCTTATAAAGATTTTGTCCTGTTGTGGTCTTGATGTGGCGTGTTTTTAGTTTTGATCTTGGAGTTTGAAGCGATAGAAAGTGATAGAAAGATTTGTTTTACTGAAATAAATTAAGAAGCAACCAGACAAGATGAGGGTTGATGAGCTTGCACGTATTATTGCTCTATCATGAAGCAGAGCAAACGTCCAAACAAATACCAACATGTTTATTTCCTTGAAGTTCTCATCAGTTAAAATAATAAAGGGTGAGATTTAAGTTGCTGTCGATGCTTGAGACATTATCTTTTTTCCAGGAGTGTTTTCAGAAACACGGTGCTATCAGGAAGGTTGTTTTTATTGACTGTACCTCTGATATAAAAGAAAAACAAATTGGTCCACACACCAAAGAAAACTCCTGTGTATGCCTGATAACCAGGATTAGGACCACAGGGGACGGGAAACAAGTAGATTATGTTCAGAGCACAGCTGCAGCAGCCAGGAACAGAATAAATATGAAAAAAATTAAAGACAAACTCGTTTCAGGACCAAATTCCTTTCCAGATTTTTCTCATCTGAATATGTTTATCTGATGTTGTAATAATCCATTTGTCTACTTTATGTTTCCTTTTTTTTCCTGTTTGTGTCCTCACAATGCAATAGAGCTCGAAAGTAAGTCTTCGCCTTTAATGTAGCTAGAGACTTGTTGTGTGCATGCTAACGAGAGCTTGTCCTTGAACCCAATGATGCTACTTTATATATAGATATAAAAAACTAACTTGCACTCCCTCATTTGATAAGTGAAATTCATGCCTTTGAAAAAGGATGTCGTTTGCAATTAACTGCTCTACACGACACATTCAGGAAGATTACATTATACAAGGTGTCACACAGGATTTTGTAAGTTAGTTAACAAAACGCTCACGGACATTTCTCTTTAAGGCACACGCAGCCCACTGCGAACACACCTACGGGTTCATGTCAAGTGAATTTCAGTTATCAGTGATGGAGGGTGTTTTTCTTTCCATTTCTGCATGAATGTGATGAGACTTTGACCTTTAATCAGAAAGCCACTGATTAAACTCCAGTCAGCTGTGTTTTCACATACCGAAGGATGACGGCTGGAGCTCCCAACAAAACAGAGCTGCAGTATTTCAAGCGCATTGATATTTTCTCAGCTTTGTTTCCCCCTTTAAACAGAGCAGTCATGCTCACACACAGTGGGGCTCAGGGTCATCTTTCGGCGAGTGGAACCATTGTTACGCCTGTTACTGCATCCGAAGCCACACATTTCCTCCATTCCTCTGTCGGACGACACAGTAACAGACACTCAGGCTGTCGTAACAAGGACATCCATGTGTCATGCAAGGATGATCAGGCAAGCTGAAGTAGTCTGAGTCCAACGTTTTTTTCTATATCTGGACGTCTCACAGTGGGTTTTATGCCACAGCGGCTGAGAAACGAAGAATTGTGATGCAGTCACATCTTTCCCATCCTCAGGGTTGAAATGTGACTCACACAGGAGGCCAGTGAGTGCTCGTTAGTTTGAAGGACAGTCATATAACGAGGTCTGTGCGAGCGGTCAACTTTCATGTGAGTCCTGTTTGTTGCCAAAGAGGCTGCAACTGTGAGTGTGAAGTTGTCGACGTGGAGAAGCGCGGAGCATCTTCAGACTGTTTAACATGCTGGAGAGAAGCTAAACAAGCTGACAGAACTTAAACATCTGTGAAACTATCAGCACACGGTCACGTTTGTGACACGCTTAATGTTGTAAAAGAGGAAACACACAATGAAACACAGGCGTTCTTCTAACGTATTTGTGGGATATGAACTTAATAAAGAGAGGAATTATAATTTAACACTAATATATTTCAACCATACAGATGCATATACTGTATACGTGATTCCCAAACCTTTTCTCTACCAAAAAGTGGCATATGCAAGTGTCCATTAATTTTAAACTAAAAATAAGACAGTATACTTACAGTTGACTTTTATGTACTTATCAAAGTTTAAAGTTTATGTCACCTGTTTATTTTTAGATTATTTTTTCTACCTCTATTATTGAGATGCGTCAGGATGGCTTGTACCAAAAATATACTAAAAGTCTGCTTTACTATTTAAGTATACCTAATACCTACCTAAGTACCATGTACTTGAGGCATACTACTTTTTGGTAAGGGTTAGCTTTCAACCAACCAAATAAAAGTAGCAAAAATTTGTGACTTTGGTTATTGCTAATCAAATAATAAACATTGTGAACAAGCCGATTAACAAAGAGACTCATCAGAACATTGTGTTGTTGTTGTTTTTTAACCATTTACTGTTTCACCACTATTTTTTTTATTTTTGTTAAACAGTTGAGGCTGATACGCTGCCAAGAGTTATAACTTTGGGAACCACTGGCACAAACGTTGAGTTTCGAACCTGCTCAGGTGGAAAAATCCTGATCTTTTCCCACAAAATAACTCAACAAACACAGATTTGAAACCATATGATCACTTTTTTTTTCCTCTCAGAAACAGTGGTCATGTCAAAAAGCCCAAAGCAGCACTAACCAAGACTGCTTTGAGAGATTTAGTGGAGTATCGAAAGGCTCAGCGTAGTCGTTTCCCCTGACGAATGGCAGGCAGATTTAAGAGCGCCCGTTCAAAGGCAGAACTGCCTGTGAGGAGTGAATGACTGAGGAGCAGAGACAGAATTGAACAGATAGGATAAGTAGGTCTTTCATTATGACCTCGAGCTGCTCTGTTCTTCAACCCCTCCTGAGAGCCATCCATGCTCTAACTGTGAAATGTTTATTCCCAACAGGGCTGGTGTCCAGCCTAAACCCATTTAACGCAGAATATCTATTATCTGATATATATTCAGAGAGACCACCATCTCTGTTGTTGCATTTAACTACTTGAGTTATAAAAGGAGTAATAGGTTGTGTTTGTATTTTGTTGGTTTGTTTGAAGCATTTGAGGCCTTAGATGTGAAGGATTTTGTCTCCTTCACAGGTTTCTCATAAACTTCCATGAGTTTTCTTGACTGTGGCGCCCTCTGTTGGTAAAACTTCTCATCTTCACGTTTGGGTGTTTTCAGTAGAAAATCTAAATTATCCTGATTGCACGTTAAAATTGGGTCATGCCGATTAATTTTAAGACTTTGTGTCACGTTTATATTTTTAAATAAATCTTACATTTGATTCACAAACAACCCACTGATCAATTCATGCTCAAACTGCATTAATGTCACAATTAAAAGGCTTACATCTAAAAACAGGACAAACTCCCCACCAGAGTTTCTATAATTAAAAAAAATGTCTAAAGTTAGGAGAGAAAAAATACTTCCTAATATCTAAAAACCACCATTATTGTACGGTTACTGTTTCAGAGCCCACTGAGAGAATAATGTTTTAAAAAGAGAAAGATTATTTCTCAGTTTGGTTTATGTTACATTAAAAAATGTCCCTGCTCTTCATGAGACAAACTAAACCCTTCATTCCCTTTTTCTCAGCAAGTTGAATTTTCTTTATTGGTGTAAAATTAAGTTTTAGATCGTTTTAGGATTTTCTCAGTTCATATCTGTGTTTTATAAAATAATATTGGAAACTCTTATAAAAGCAACACATGAGAACATATGAAACGATAGCTACATAAAACAGTTTCATGTTTAAACTGTCAAAATTTGTGTTTTTGCTTGAGTTTATTTATTTGTTTTTATTTTGTTTATTTTAGATTTTTGTTATTTCTTGTAATGTTTATTCTCTTTTTTTCATTTTGGTTTCTGTGCCTTTTTTTTCACTCACGCCTGTTCTTTGTTGTCATTTTGCACTTCCACTCTGCTCATCATCATTCCCAGCATATTTATTCTGTCTGTCTTTATTCACCTGCAGTCTGACATTGTGTGCTTCATCCCCTGTCGTGTCCCTCTCCTCTGTGGCTCGTTATTTTAAATATTTTTGCTTCCACAGCTGCTTTTTGTTTCTGTTTTTTTAAACTTTAAGTTTTATTCAAGCTTCTTGCATCACTTTGCATTTTGGGGATCAAATCCATCATCCAAACCGACACAAATAATAGAAAACTTGGTTTAAACAAAACAAAGTTTAAGGAAATGACATAAGACTGCTTTTGTTGAGTTATATCCTTGCGTGTTGAGCAGAACCACAACTTTACAAGTCCTTTTTTCCAGTCTGAGTCCCTCGAGCCCTTTATTATCATTGATTAAGGACATTAAGGACACAGAGCTGATTTTCCCTCACTCAATGGCAGCTTTGCCCCCTCCTCCCTTCTTCTCTATGGCCTCCTTTCCGCTTGCATGCAGCTCAGCCAAAAAAAAAAAATTAAGACCGACCCCCCTGCAATCCCTTCATTCTCCTACACACATCCCTGTGCATGTCCCAGGAGTGCTCTTCATGTGTATGCCTTGTGTGCGCACAAAATCCTCCCATTCCTAATAGAGTTGACTCACTGGGTTCTGAATGGTCTTGTGTTCAGATTGAGAAGTGTTAAAATGGAGCAACGCAAGCTGAATGACCAAGCAAACTCACTAGTGGACCTTGCTAAGGTAAGCTAGACTATAACAGATCACTGCAGCTCTGTCAAACTGGCTTTTTTTTCTCTCTCTTCTGTGGGTGGAATTCACTGCATGCTGTTTCCCTCACTGAACTAGCTGCTTTTTCTTATGTAGACAAAGTCTACAGGTGTCAAATAAACAGACAGGCTTTATGTTTTATCTGGTTTCCTGTGGTTGACTGCACTCACCTGACAGGTAGATTGTTTGGGAACAGAATAATAACCCCTTTCTATTTTTTTTCAGTGTTTATTTTACAGGTTGTGTTCTCCTAAAAATTACTGAATAAAACTAATGAAAATCCCAGCAGGTTTTTTTTTTCATGCATCCTCTAGTGTTTGCCTTCAGATGCACTAAACATAAGTCGACAAGCCTCAGGGAAAGACCAGGCAGCGTGCCAGTCTGACACAGCAGAAACACTAACCTATAGGTAGGGAGACACAGTGGGATTTGATGATTCAGCCGGAAATAAGGGCAGGAAAGAAGAGAAAAAAAGAAAAGAGGAGGGCTTTGACATTCAAAAGCACACCACGTCTAGCTGGCTTGAATCCAACGTGTCACAAAAGATGTTAGTTAATATTGCCTAATCATCTCATGCTGTAAAACAGAATGGAGATTTGGAATTTGGCGTTGTAAAAGGCGCCTAATGGCCACTGCCGCTCTGCATGAATACCAAACTGTTGTTTCAGGAGCCTGCAGCCGTGAGAGGGCAGTGTATGCTCGCTTCACACTCAGCGGGGAGACTGAGCTGCACATGTGCAGAAGGTGCTTTACCGCTGCAGTGCCATGTTAAAATCCTCAAGATCACAATTTATTGTTTTAATTTATCCTCATTCCCTGATGGAATGTCTTTTTATTTGCTCTAAGTAATGCAGCACTTATTTGTTTCTTTCTGCAGTATTAAATTGCATGCCATCGAACTATAAAATAATCACTTTTCTCACTTTCATCCCTTTTCATTTGAAAACTTTTATTAAGAATTTGTGGTTTTCTTTCTTGTCACGTGCCAAAATGCTTTATAACCTCCCTCCTCTATTAATGAAGCTCCTGCATGAATTTCAGGGACAAATTGTGTCCCATCGGTGTTTAATTTCTTCTTGTTTCATCTAGAATTTCACCATTAGTTCAGCTTTAAATTTACAAATCAGAACCAGAAGAGAAATGTATCCCGAGGATGCTTTTTACCTTTGTTGAGCCGCCCAACGATCTTTACATGATGAGTCATTATTGATTTATAGATGCAGTTGAACACAGTAAAACTCTTGTTGCTGACGGGCTGAGTGGTGCAGCATTTCTTTAGTCCTTCTCACCAACTAACTGTTTTAGATGTCCCATTGTTTTTGCCTCACACATCAGAGGAGGACCAGGTAAGTGACGGATAACTTCGCCTCCAGAAATGGCCCTCTGCTCAGCTTCATCCCTAAAATCCATGAGAAATGTGTCACAAATGACTGCGTCTGTTGCTGACGATGGTTGGAGAATGAAGCTGGTTGTGCGAAACAAATTTTAAAGAATAGTTTAACTAAACTGTTAAGAAAAGGCTGTGATGCATCAAAAGATTAAATACATTTTCTTTCTTTTGCATTTCTCGTGTCATCAAGGTTGTAGAGTATAATATGCTTTGTTCTGCGTGAAAATACTGAGTTTTATAAACATGGAAAGCTGTCCTCATGGATCAGCATAAACAACATAAAAACAACCTAAAATATTAATTTGGATCGGTTTCTTCAAGAAGGGAAATGGCTAACATTATTTTGCTAACCAAAGTTTTAAAGCTTTAACTTTCTTGTTTTTACAACGGTAACATTTAAAGGTTTGCCAGATTTATTCATAAACCACTTCGGATTCACATAAAACAAATGTCAAGTTTGGCTTTTAAAGTCGAATCCCAAGCAGACTAAATGACTGTGTAGCTACTTCAACAAAATTTTGTTAAGAAAGTTAATGGCTGACAGGGCAGCAAAAGTACTTATAAAAAAACTGGTACTGGAACAGGAAACATGAAGGTATGGAAGCCCATTTCCGCCACCCTGATAAAAAAATAAATAAAACTTGTATCTCATAATTATGACTTAGCTATCTCATAATTATGAGATACTATCTCATAATTATGAGATACTATCTCATAATTATGAGATAGCTAAGTCATAAATATGAGATAAAATCTCATAATAATGAAATAGCTAAGTCATAATTATGAGATAGCTAAGTCATAATTATGAGATACTATCTCATAATAATGAGATAGCTAAGTCATAATTATGAGATAGCTAAGTCATAATTATGAGATACAAGTTTTATTTTTTATCAGGGTGGCGGAAATGGGCTTGCATATAAAGGGATGCGATAACACAACAGAACGCAGACAGACTGAGGACAGAGAACAGAATATAAAGAGGAACTAACGAATCTGAAACAAGGAGAGAAACGAGGAGCAGGTGAGAGTGGGCGGGGCTGGAGCAGACAGGCAGGAGGAGCTGAACAGAGAAAAAACAGGAAGTTACAAAAATCAGAAAACCAAAAGACAGAGAAGAGTAATCCAAAACACTCCCAGAACAGGTACACACACAGACACAAAAGCAATGATCTGCTGGAAACAAGTTGGCCCTGCTGCAACAAATCAACTGTTGGTTAAATTCAAATAAAGGTTTTGTTTAATAATGTGTCAAATGAGCAGCTTTTGACAGCGTTACATTTCACCTCTGTGACTTTTTGTTCTCCAGCTTCCATCTTGTTGAAGTTTGAAGCAGCACAGAGAGCAGGAAGATTTTTTTTTTTAAGTTCAGCTTTACCTTTTGAATTACTTGTTTTACTTAAACCTCAAGATATTTTACATCACAGTGAAAGAAAGTAATCAGGAACTGTCAAAAAAAAAGTTTTTATAATGAAACTACCATGGGTGTTATGGTATGTTTCATTTAAAAATTGACTGAATTGTTGCCATTAAATGCTTAATTATTTATGATTTATCGTGAAATGGTCCTAATTCTGAAAATGAGCATTAATCTTTCATTGTTGTTTGAGAAAGTGCATCTTTTCATTTGAATCTCAATCTCTGTATCGTTTTCTTTCTGTTTCCAGGTTTGAAATGAATCTGTGCATTTAGGTTTCTTTTAACATGTCATCCACACATCCAGTATTTCCAGGTTACTAATCAAAACCTAACACCAGTTTAGAAAATAAGTGCATGAAGGCTGTTTCCTCTGTCCCGTTGCAGACTCAGAACATCATGTATGACATGGTGTCGGACCTGAACGAGAGAGGCGAGGACATGGAGAAGAGGATTGCCCTGCTGGAGACGAAGCTGGAGACTCTGCTGACTAACTTGCAGGCCCTCCCTGGACTCATCAGCCAGGTCATCAGCCAGCAGCACAGGGACTTCATGGAGGTGCAGCTCCAGCCGTACGACAAACACAACCCAGAGCGCTCGCAGTCAGTGTCACGACGGAGGTCGTCCTCCACGGCACCGCCCACCTCCTCAGAGAGCAGCTAGAGTCCAAGGGGAAGGCCTCCACTCAAAGACGTTTGCCATCATATGGCCAACTTGCATTTATTGTAAAGCCTTATGGTTTCAATAAGTATTATCCAAATTCTGATGACAGAATTTGAGTCACTGGGGATGATGGATTTTAATGGATAACTTCATGCTGTTATTGATTTTATTACCTCAAAAGGTGTCGTTATCCTTGCTCTGGTGACAGACCACAAATAATGGCGCTTCCCTCAGTTAAAGACCTACAGTATCAATGGGGCTATGACAAGGACTCTTCTCCATCTCTATGCAGAGGTTGCCAGTTCTAGGAGGCAAAGTTACCAGGTGTGAAACTATTGCACTAAAATAGTGCTTTACACGGACTTTGTGCTTCTGCTGGCTTGATTCAGTTGCTGTGCTCCAGTCAGGGAGCATGTCGGTGACACTGAGGGAAAGTGCTGCGCCTTGACTGGCCTGGAGTCAAGTGACAGCAGGAGGAAGACGAGTAGCTCAGATAACTTAAAAAGTCTTGAAGTGAGGAGTAAAATAACAACAAATATATTTTAGGTTAGAAACAGCATCAACTATAGCAGTTTTCCTTTGCAGAGTCCCCCTTGTAGAATGCCTATTTTTTTGGGATGGGGGGACGACATTGCAAGTAATTTGACCCTCAAGTCGAAATGAATGCGTCCAAATCTGTACTTGCACTTACTTTTTAAGCAATGCACTCAATGCTGACTGATATAAAGATGTGCTACTCATTAAAAGATGAGTTTGGGCATGGGTTTAATGTCATAAATCAGGTCAAAAAGTCCTTTTTTGTTTGTTTTTCATAAAGATGCATTCACGTAGACTTGTTGAAGTCGATAGAAATGCACTGAATGATCATAAAGGAACCATCTTATTCTGTGTCTCCCCACTTCTGTGTGATCTGTGCTCGCTGTCATCCCAGCTGGGCAACAACAAATGCTGAATGACAGCTAAAAAAATGCATATTTTTATACATTTTCATGAGGACAAGCACACCTCTTAAATAGAAATCTGGTTTGAGATACTGTATCTTGGCAAGGAGATTTTTTAGCATAAATACACACGTTATTTTAACCAAGTAGGCATTATTATTCACTATTTTACCATATTTATGGAAGTTACACAGAGCAAAGCATGGGTTGGTCACTCATCCAGTCAGCAGTGTTGATTCTGTCACCCACAAACCAATAACAAGACAGTTTGCAAAAATGACATCTGTGCAGTCTACAAACTTCAGCAAGAAGGATACCAATGAGAGATTATATTGTATGCAACTTTAATGATAATTAAATAATAAAAACACGTAATTAGACAGGCTTGTGTACATTTTTTGTAATGTGTGCAATGGTGTATCGAGCAACACTAATGATAAAGAGTTTTAACCTGACCAACAGACACAGGGTTTCATTTGGGTATTAAATCAAAGCCATTTTTTATTTATTTTTTTAATAGAATGTGCATCACAACTATTGTATAAAGTAAAGCCTGGTATTCATATGCAATTGTCAGTTCATTGATTCATCTTGGCTAAAAACAGCATGAAGGGAAATCTATAAGAAATCATTTTCAATACTTGTGAAATAATGAGTTTGATCTTATTCTGGTTTAATCTCATGGTTAGCATTTTAAGTGCTTTATTGGCCTATTATTTTTTACTGCATTATTATACTTATATAAGGATCGGTGCAATCATTAATTCTGATTTAGAGTGAAATGTTGCACTGGAGGTTTGATTTGAGTAGCAATTATATTAGTTTTAAATTGTTGCTCATAATAAACAAAAACTAAATCTAAATCCTTTAGTGATCTCCAAGGGAAATTACAGTCATTACAGCTGCAACTGTTCAAGTAAAATAATTGGAGAAAAGATAAGCACACTAGATTAAAATAAAGCATAAATAATCTTGAGAAAATCAAAATAAACACATGGACATATAAACAGTATAAAATACAAAAAAATATAAACAGCATAGCTGGGTGAAAAAGGTCCTATAAGATGCTATAAGAAGAGATGAGGTTAAAGGATATTGCATCCTATTTCAAGTAAAAGGCACAGATGGGATAAAGTGACTGATAACATAAAGTTTCACATGTTTAGAGATGAGTTATAGAGTTTGATGACCAAATGAGTCTTGCACTGAATGTGCTTTTATTTTGTAGAGAAGTGTAATCATTGTCCTGCAGCTTTGACAGTGTCCTCCTGAGAGTCCAGTGCTCCTCTCACAACATCACCTGCTTTGTGAAACGGTTTGTGGAGCCTGTAGGTGTCAGCCACCTTCAGTCTGCTGCCCCAGCATGCAACAGCACTCACCAGCACAGTCTCATTGAAGATCCTGAGCATCGTCCAGGAGATGATGGAGGACCTCAGACGTCTCAGAAAGATGAAACAACTTTGCCCTTTTCTGTAGACTCAGTGTTTTGAACCCAGTCCAATTTATTGTCAATGTGTATTCCCAAATATTTTTAATCTTCCACTGTGCCCATGCTGACCCACCTGATGGATACGGGGTCACTCACTGGTGTCTTGTTCCTCCTCCGGTTCACCACCAGTTCTTTAGTTTTAGTCACGTTGAGCTGTAGGTGTCAGCTAGCACCATGTGACAAAGTCCTTCACCATCGTCATACTGTTCTGTACTGTTCCTCATCTCCCCTGCTGATACAGCCGACTAAAACTCAGAAAACCTCTGAAGATGGCTAGCCTGGTAAAAACAGGAGAGGAGGGAAACTAGAATTGAGCAGAACTGCGTATGAAGGCAAGGGCCAGGCTAGAAGATGGCAGGTCCCTGTGTTAGTTGAAGTCTGTGGTGTAGAGTGTGAAAAGGAAGGGAGAGAGGACAGTTCCCTGTGGGGCTCCAATATGGCTGACCAGTCTGTCAGACTGCTGGAGTCATACATCTCTGCCAGTCTGTTATAATCCTGGACATGAGTGGGGCTTCCACTTGCATCACCATCACCTCGTCCCCCAGAAGAGCAGGACGAATGGTGCTGGAAAAGTCAAAGAACAAAACGTAATGTTATGCATATAACTACTGTTCCCTGAAGGAAAGGAACGAGGTACAACATCATGTATGGGAACCACGCCCCTGCGTGTCCTGGCTGAAGCCACCTCTAATCACGCCTTTAGGCAGGTGACGTGATGACGACAGATGTCAGGCTCCGCCTGCACATATAAATACTGCGTTTTGCCGCCTGCTTCGACGCTCAACTCTGGAGAGACGGGTTAAGTTCTTGGAGAAAGTGCTGGGCGAGGC